GGGGGCGAGGGCGCAGACACCGGGCGGACCGGGACGGCCCCGACGGGGCGCCGCGAGAGCCACCCGGTGCTACTGGAAAAGAAGCCCCTGAGGAGGATTCCAGCACATTCCACCCCATCGGGGACCCCTGCCCCCCATCGGGGACCCCACCATCGGGGACCCCTGTGCCCCCTGCTCCCAGGCCCCTGGCACCCACAGATCTGCCTCCTGTCTCCGTGGTTTTGCTGTTCTGGAAGCTTCCAGCACATCCCCCCCCAGGATGCCTGTCCCTCCCGGCCCCTGGCACCCACAGATCTGCCTTCTGTCTCTGGGCTTGCTGTTCTGGAAGCTTCCAGCCCATGGTCCCACACAGCACTGCGGCGTCTGTCACTCAGCGGCGTGTCCCTGACTCATCTGAGCAAAAGCCAAGCTGCGTTCCTGTTTGTGGCCAAGTAATGTTCGCGGGGTGGGGGGCCTGGGCCCCGGGCCCGGTCCTGGGCTCGATGGGGGTCTGAAGGCCAGCCCGGAGGGCCTGGGGACGCACGATTGCTATTCTCTTGGGAAAGTGCTAGAAGCGGACTTTCCTGGCCATATGCTGCCTCTGTTCAAATCGCTGACAAGCTGTGTTCCAAAGCAGAGGCCCAGAAACTGGAATCTCAACCAACAGTGAATAACGCTGTTTAGACGCCCCATCTGGGCGGTGGCCACGCTCGGAGCTCCTGAGCTCAAACGCCAGCTGAGCGGGCGGGGTGGCGCACGCCTGCCGTCCGGGCTGACCAGGAGGCTGAGGTTTGAGGATTGCGGTTCAAGGCCAGCCCAGCAGGAACGCTCCTAAGGCTCTGATCTCCAATCAACTACCCAGGAAAAGCTGCAAGCGGCACGGTGGCTCAAGCGGTAGAGCGCCAGCCTTGAGCCACAGAGCTCAGGGACAGCGCCCAGGCCCTGGGTTCAAGACCCATGACCTACCAAAAAAACAGCAACAACAACAACAACAAAAAACAATTCTAGCGAGCTGGGTGAGCCTCTCCTGCCCAAAACGCGACCAGAGCCGACTTGCGCTGCACCCGCTTCTCTCCCCAGCAGGAATCAGCGCCGCCTTGGGACTTGAGTTTGGAGTCTTGAGAAAAAGAGGTTTCCTGACGCAGACACGGGTGGGTGCCGGGCCCTGGGGTCTCTAGCAGCTTTCCTTGGACAACACGCCAGCGAGCAGGCAGCTTTGTCATCCACACACAGGGCCTGCGTCTGAGGGAGACGGCGGGCAGCGGGCCTGGAGGGCGCGTGTGGCCCGGAACCACTCACAGCACAGAGAAGAGGGCAACCAAACCAGGGCCTGACACCACGCCTCCTCCCAGACTCCCCAGGCTGCTGGGGACCTGGCACAGTGGTCAAGCGCCCACCGAAGCCAGCCTGAGGCCCCAAGTTCAAGCTCTGACACAGACACACACACACACAAATACACGAAACATGTTTTTATGGCAGAATGTTGCCTGCAAGTGTGTTTCCAGCACACAGATGTTTTCCTTAGGAACTCCTACCCACCCTTCAACACCCTCTGCAGATGCCCCTTAGGGGAGGGAAGCGGGCTCACTTGAACTTCAGGTTCCTCCACTCCAGGAGCAGAGGCGGAGGGGTGGACGCCCTGCGGTTCCTCTCTTCCTTCCGGCCCTGTTCCTTCCTGCTGCCCGCCCCCAGCCTGCAGGGCCTTGGGAACTGGGGCAGCCCAGGCCTGCTCCCGTGTGACCCGGGCACCTGGGTGCAGTTCTGTCCATCTGGTGGGCAGACACAGCAGTGCACTCTGCAGGGGGAGAAACTGAGGCCTGGGAGCCCCGGGCAGGGGCTGCCCCTCCCTCTTCACACTCAGCCTGCGCTGGGCCTGCCTCAGTTTCCCCATTTGTGACGTGTGGTAGGTGGTGGTGGGCGTGGGGGAGGGCGGAGGAGGAGGTCCTCCCTCCCACCCCGTGCCCGGCACTGACGGCCACACCATGCCAGGCCCAGACACTGGCGCTTTGTCCTCTGGCCATTGACCTCATGGCCTCTGGTCGCCTGACGCGGCCGGCCTGCTGTCCTGGGACCCGGCTGCAGGGAGGAGGGGCCGGTGCCAGGGGCTGGACCTCCCCAGGCTGAGCCTCAGTTTCCCTGACCCAGTGCTCGCCTCCCAGGGGCTGGGCCATGCACCCCTGGGGCTTGAACTCTGGACCAGGCTTTTTTTTTTTTCCTCTCAAGGTTGGTGCTCAACCCCCTGAGCCACAGCTCTGCTCTGGCTTTCCTTTCTTTGGTCGATTGCAGGGCTTGAACTCTGGGCCTGGGTGCTGTCCCTCAGCTCTTCAGCTCAAGGCTTGCGCTCTACCACCTGAGCCACAGAGCCATGTCTGGTTTTCTGGTGGTTCATTGGAGATCAGAGTTTCACAGCCTTTCCTGCCCAGGCTGGCTTTGAACTGCAATCCTCAGATCTCAGCCTCCTGAGTAGCTGGGATGCCAGGCTGAGCTGCCTCATCCAGCCTCTGCTCTGCTTTCTGCTGGCAGCTGTGAGTCTCATGGGCTTTCTGGCCCAGGCTGGCTTTGAACTGCCATCCTTCCATGTTGGCCCCTGCTTTCCATTGCTTGGAAGATATCCATCCTGGCAGCCCAGCCTGGTGTTCCAGTCCCCTGCCTCGGTGTCCCCAGTGCCCCGGGGCCCAGGCCGCTCCAAGGGTGAGTTCGAAGACCAGAGAGGGAAAGAGGTCCCTGAGGACACGTGTCCAGCTCCGGCGAGGGACTGTGGCTACCTTCGGGGGCTGGGCAGGAGCAGGCTCTGGGTGGCTGCCCTGGCCTGACAGGGGTCCAGGTGAGGCCCCGCCCCAACTTCCTGGGTTTCTCTTTCAGTTTGATTTCTGGGTCACGACATGCTTAGTTCCAGAGTGTTCCACACAGGGAACGGGGTGCCTGGGGCTTTGAGGGTGGTGTAGGAGTCTGCCACATTCCTTAGGGGCCCAATGGGGCTGCCAGCGGCTGGCCTGCGCCTGCTCTCCCTCCTTGTGCTGTCCCAGCAGGGCGGTAAGACCTCCACCCCATCTTTGGAATGGTCGGGGCTGGTGCTGGGGGAGGGGGATGGAGGTCAGGTGGACATGGGCAGACACAGGGCTGAGGCTGAGAGGGGCGGGCCGTGGCGTCCCCTCACCCGCACCCCTGCCGATCGCCATCTCGGGTCACCCCGCAGCCTCCTGCCCTGACCGAGGGTGCTGCTTCCAGGAGCTTCCCCCGCCCTCCGCGGTCCCGA